GCCAAGCATTCAGGGCTGAAACCGGTTTGGGGGGGGGGGGTGTGCAGGGCCGCAGGAGCGGCAGGCAGGGCTGATCGAATGGCTGTGGCGCAGGAGTCACGATCCGGTCAAAGCGTTTGAAATCGATAAGAGATAAGCTTGACAAGTTAAGGTACGGGAAACGGCGGGATGCAGACGGATGGGAGCTGAATGACAGGGAGCTGGGGTATACGTGTAGCTGACTGGACAAGAAGACGAAGCCATTGACAAAAAAAAGCAAATCAGCTTGAGAGGAAGGCAGTCCACTGTGAGTGAGAGGTCCAGTCGTCATCGACATCAACCACAGGTCTCTAGACTAGTCCTACCTCTACCTATCGTATCAGTGACTACGTAAGAACGGGGCATCGGTGGGCATTGGCAGGGCATGGCATTGGGGAATGGGCAGACGGGACCTGAACGGGATGGGCGGGGCTTCTCCGCGAAACGGGCAACGACTCCACGAGGGAAAAGGAGTGACGGCGGGACTTCCCATCGTCACAGAAGAGGAGGTCACTACCATAGGGCGGTGGGAAAGCCATGCCCCTGGACATGCCATGGGACCCGGGGGAGAAGAACGACGATCCCTGCTTGTTGTGTTCCCTTTTTTGACAGTTGCTATGTATGTTCAGTGGTCTCAATGCTTTTGCATCGCTGGACCATGTCCCTTCTATACTCAAAGTGAGAAGTCAATGTTATGAATATCTAGTTAGACTCTTCAGATAGATAGATAAGGTAAGTATAGTCATTAGACGGGACGACTTTCCATTCGCACTACTGTACCCGGAAGCTAATTAGCCGCGGCTCCGTTCTTTGGTCCAAAGTCCAAACAAGTTCACAAAGACATCCCGTCCAGGCACGGGTAAGAGCCTCACGTGACTTGGCCATTTCCCCAGAGCGCTACTTCTCACTCCGCCAGGGCGGGTACCGTACTTGGAACAGCGACAGCCGACACCTCATACGGCATCCCATATCTCTGCGCATTCAACTCTTAGGAACACCCAACAGCTCCAGCTTTGTTAAAGTACCTGTTGCTCGGCCATCACCTGTCCAGACTTTCCATCACCTATCTTTATTGGAGCGCAAATCGAAAAGGGGACGTCGCAAACACTACAACGACTAGGACTAGCTTCGCAGTGTCGCGTACCAGTGCATACTTCCTTGGTAGCCAGAGCCAGTCCAGCGTCAGGTACCTCCCTACCCGACCTTACCTACAGCCTATCACCTGTCTCCCTCTAGGTGTTACTGTTAGTGCTAAGGGCGTGTCTAGCTGCCAACCTCACCTCATACACTACCTCCAATTTCCCTAACAGCATCGCTGCACCCGTCACCGCGACCAAAAACCACCCCTTGTCCAGAAACGGCACGAGCCCGCTCTAAACTTGACCTCACGTCCGACTTCCCAGCAGAACAGCCGCAACGACATCCATCGCCGCATCACCACCACAACCCCTATTCCGTCTCTCAATTGCAGTTCCATCTCGACCGATGCCGCTCTTTCTCCCCATGTGACCAGGTCGCCCAAAAGTGCCTTGGTGCCGGATATACACGAGCGCACTTTCTGGCGCATGGCGACCGAACAACGGCCCCAAGTAATATCAACTTCAACGCCAGTCAGCCAGCTCCGGTCTCCAAAATGTCCATCACCAACGGTCAGCATGCCTGGCCTCCGCCCTCGACCGCCGCCCACATGAACGGCATCAGGGCCATCCACCACCTCAGCCAGAACGATGGGCCCCAAAGAACAATGACTCCCTTTGATAATTCCACCACCGCCTTGATGCCTGAGGCACTCTCATCCGACCCCGACGACGACCAGCGCCGCTCCCACTTCGTCGACAAGTACCAGAAGGCCGACGAGCGCATCTCCATGCTGTTCGCCGATGACGGCTCCTACAACATTCCCGTGTTAGCCGCTTTGAAGCGCGCTCCTACACCCCCCATACCCCTGCTCCCTCTCACGACCGATCACGCGCCGATCCAGGAGCCCCCCCGCAAAAAAGCGAAGCGCGTCATCGACGAGGACGACTACGGCGACGACGACGAGGACGACGACGAGGACCAAGAAAGCGACCACCCCGTCGCGACTGATGACAAACTAGATACACAACTAACATCCAAGCATTCCGCCAACGATGCCGCCGCTCGGGCACTCCTCTCCCCGTCCAAGTCCGGCAGCTCTCCCGTACACTCCATACCCTCGCCAGGGCGCCAGGCAGACCAGCACACAACCAAAGAAGATGGAGTGCAGCCCAAGGCAAAGTCCTCCGAGGATGCGCGCAGGGAATTGGAGGCGGCGCGCAATGCGACCGAGGAGGCGGCCAAGCGCGGATTTCATACCCTCTTTTACACACTTGAGAACGACAGGACGGCAATGCTCGAACAACAACAACTGGAGGAATCCGAAAAGCAACTACAAGCAGAGATGGACAAGTCGGGGCAAACCAACCACAGCCAAGGACCTCCCAGCAGTCAGAACAACCACGGCTCCCTTAGCAGTGCCAACCTCGGCGCTTCAAGTCTTACCCTAAAACACTTGATTGCCCGAATAGACATGAAGCGCGACCGCGTGCAGGCATCGGACGCTGAACTACGGTCGCTTATGAACGAGGTTCGCAAGAACAGGAGTAAATGGGCCAGCGAGGAAAACGTTGGACAGGAAGAGTTGTACGAGGCACTGGACAAGGTCTTGACCGAGCTCAAGGCGCACACCGAGTACTCGACTCCCTTTTTGACCAAAGTGAACAAACGTGATGCGCACGATTATTACAACAGTGAGTTACTGGGGTTACTATGTGGAAGACTTGTTCGCCCAGTTTAAGCTAACACCGCGGTCAGTCATCAAACAACCAATGGACTTGGGTACCATGGCCAAAAGACTCAAGACCCTTCATTACAAGTCCAAGGCAGAATTCGTCACGGACCTTAACTTGATATGGGATAACTGTCTTCGGTACAACCAGGACCAGGCCAATCCCCTACGCCGGATGGCCAATGGCATGCGCAAAGAGGCCGAGAAGCTAATCCCCCTAATACCGGACATCGTGATCAGGCCAAGGGCAGAGGTCGAAGCGGAGGAACGCCGAAAACAAAACGGTGGCGAGGATGAAGCGGGCGATGATAGTGACGATGAGCCAATAATGTCGTCTCGCGGACGGAAAGCTGGTACCAAAGGGACCAACAAGTCACGAAAAGCACCGACGGACCAGAAAGAAGGGACACCAAGCGTCGACCAAAAACCGATATTGCAACTCAACGGGATCCTAGCCAAATCTCACAGAGAGGGTTCAGAGGTCGACGGCAGCAATGGCTTTGGGACGCCTATCCCCGGCTCCCTAACACCCAGCAACATGAACGGTGGACACTCTGGGATCAGCAATGCGGATGCCATGGAGCTTGATGGGCCGTCACTCAACGGAATGGCCTTGAATCACGCGTTCAGGGAAGCAGATGAGCAGGCGTACGAGGACGAAGAGTACAAGATCTGGAAACAAGTCACGAAAAAGGATCGTGCTCTCGTGGCCAAGGAACGTTTCCAGCTGTTCAAAGACAACAAGCTGAATCCGGATGAGCCTGCACTATTACGAACCAAAGCCGGGATGCGTCGGTTTCTGAAGTCTCGCAAAGAGGCAGAGGCCATGGGTGTGATGACCTCCCAGGGTGATGCTCCTGGTAGCGGAGATGGCAATAAGGTGGCCGAGACATTAGCCCAGGGTATGGAGGACGAGACCTTTCGGAATATTCCCGCCTATTACGAACCCCAAACGATAATACCCGACATCCCACCAAAGCTACAATGGATTGAGGATGGCGAGGGTCAAGTCATCAACCAGCATGAAGAGTTTCTCCGGCTCGTTCCTCGTGGTCAATTCACCGCCCCTAATAGCCGGTTCACCAAGAAGTTCGATGCCAACATTCGGCAATTGCAAGAGACTCGCAAACTGTGCTCAAAGATCAGCGTCATCAAGCAGATGCAAATCCAAACCCAGGTAGGTTTTGCGAGTGCAACGAAGCATGACTTCACTTCCGTGACTTAACTGCTAACATTCGAATAGGTATATACGAATCAGTTCCCCAAGTATAACCTTGAGCCATTAGTGGAAACCGACATCGAGCCCACCTTTCTCGCCGGCGAAGGTCCCGTCATGACCCCCGAGGTGTGCAGGGCAGCATTACAACGATCCGTTGCGAAGATTTTCTACCATGCGGGCTTTGAGGAACTGCAACCCTCCGCCCTGGACACGATAACCGACATTGCTGGCGACTACTTTCAGAAGATTGTCCACTCATACCAAGTATACCGTGAAGCTGAGTGGAAGGAGGCGCCGCCTGCATTGAAGGAAAAGGGGGTAAAATACGTGCCAAGATTCACGAATGAGGAAGTCCTCTTGCACACCTTGAGCGAAAGCGGCATCGAACTGGACGCGCTACAGGCCTTCGCCAAGGACGACATCGACCGTCTGGGCAATAAGCTCACCCAGATCCACGATCGGATGAAGGCGCATCTTGCCGACCTACTTCGGCCGGCACTGACCGACAACAATGGTGACGGATCAGGATCGTTCGAAGATGGCAGCGAGCAGTTCGTGGGAGGCGACTTTGCAGAGGAACTTGGCGATGACTTCTTCGGCTTCAAGGCTCTCGGTCTCGACCGCGAGCTGGGTCTCGAGATGCTTTCGGTGCCACTGCACCTGCTGCAATCGAGGGTCAGAAACCAGTACCAAATGCAGTCCTCGACAACCGGCCAAACAACAACCGACCTCTTCGAGCAGCTCCCGCCTGCCGACCCGGTCACCAAGGAAAGCATCCAAGAGGAAATCGGCCTCGTTAAGAACTTCTTCCTCGCCAAGCTGCACGCAAACAACGATCAGCCGCTCGTGGAAGACGAAGACCTGCCCGTCAAGCAACGGAAGCCGCGTCCCCGTCTGGCCGCCAGCGGCAAGATCACCGCGCCCGCAAAGCGCCCGCTCAGAGAGCAGATCGCCGCAGCGAAGAAGAGGAAGAAAGAGGCCATGCAGGGCGCCAATGCTTCGCCGGAGAAGGCCGGGGCAGCAGGTGGTGGTACGCCCTCCAAGAAGGCCAAGACCAGTCACAACATGGTCAATGGTACCGGTGCCGCAGGAGGTGGAGCTGGCGGGCTGATGGCTCCATCGATGGAACGAATAGGGAGCGTCAATAGCCAGACGAACGCGAGCATCACGGATAAGGATGATGTGGGGGCTATGGGGATGATGAGTCCGGAGAGTTTTGAGCAGAAGTGAGGACAGCAGGAGAAGGATCATTAATGGATGTTGAGGACACAGTAAGGGTGGACAACAATGGAGAATACGGGAGGATTGGGTAGGGAGGGAGAGAAGACGAGAGAAAAGAACGAAAGCATCGTGAAAGCATGAAGCGCTTTTCTTGTGTATTTTCTGTCTTAGATCTTCTGTCTGTCCGGGTCAGTGGAACTGGTGAAGATGATCCGGGTACTACGGTCAGGTCGGGTCGGGTTAAGTCAGGTGTGGGTTTGGTCGGATTGGGTTGTCTGTCTGTGTGTATGCTGGACACTGGACATATATGTTGGTTGTTCCATCTTTTGGTTTATTCGGCGGGGGCGCTGCTTCACTCCCTCTTTTTCTTCTTCTACTTCATTTCGATCATGTTTCTTTTTCTTCAGGAAGAGGGAAGGAGAGGGGGGTTTGGTTTGATTAGGTTGGTCTGGTTTGGGTTGGTTTGATTCGGTTGGTTTGATTGATATCCCTGATCGCATGCGCGCGCGCGCGGCGAGGCGAAGAGAGAGAGACATGCAAGAGAGAAAGAGAGTCAGAGAAATTTACAATTTGCATTTGATATCGGGACCGAGTCTGTTTATCTCCTTTCTACCTCCTTTTTGCCTAACATTTATCCTCCTATCCACGCCTTTAACTGCCCTTCAGTAATGTAGACCAAGTTTATGTTAGTCATGTCAGTCAGTCAGGTATTTTCATCACATACACACCCCCGCCTAGATTATACGTTCGGGGCGTACGCGTGATGGTGAAGACATATATATATGTACATATATAATAATGATGATCTTATTCACGCTATGGCTATATATACAAGCCGCCTTTACTAGGCATGCGGTCCTTCGTCAGTCAAAGGCGGGGGGGGGAAATGCGTTACCAGAAAACCTCCTGCGTCATTCTATCCTCCGCTTTCTCTAGAGTACCTTCTTGGTTGTCTTCGTTTCATCCTAAGTCCTCTTGTCTTCTAATCCTCCAATAGCCAGCCTTCACCTCCCCACCCTCGGCCTCTTAGCAGCCGGGAGACACACGTCTTATACCAACTGGGGGCACCGCCGCGGGGAAGGGGATATATGTACATATATACATACATGTATACCGTAGAAACTCGCGAATTCTTTCCTGGTACTAGATTTTTTTTTAAAAAGGGCCACAAACATTGCTCTTATGTACGCTCGAGGTACGCTATCTCAGCTCAGCTCGTCTTCTCTCAGCTCATCTCATCTTTACCTTATGTTTTACGACGTACCATAGTCTACCCGTGTGTACCTAGCGTACGAATAAACTGGCAGCATGACAGGCTAGGGTGCATATGTC